TGCTATTTTGAAGAGCTAGGCGCGAAAATATAGGCATCAACTGTACATGTGATAGCTGGCATCTAATTGGCTGAGCGAAACAATTAGTGTGACAGGGGTCGCATGCAGGAAGTGACCCCTGAAAGGAAGTGAGCTGATTCCACTACTGGTAAGGGCGGGTTTATGGTTATCACATTAACTCCAATTTATCCTGTTGTATAAATTAGCTGTTATTGCAATGTTAAACTGAAGTAGCTAGATACTGGACAACATACTATAACCTTAAATATTATTTGTCTCTCAATTAAATGAATTAAAAAGACCTACCTGCGATGTATTCGACTGTGTTTTGGTTTCTGTTTGTCTTTTTAGTGATTTTTTTAAATTCAATTAAAACACTTTCAATTACAAAGTACTTACTTCGAATACTTACTTACAAACAATGTATGGTACTTACGCTACTAACAAAACTATACTCTACTTACAAAAAAATACTTATTTACAATGTGAGATACTTACGCTACTAACAATACTATACTCTACTTACAATACAAAACTTGCAATACTTACTTACAATGAGATACTTAAGCTACTAACACACTAACAGTGCTATACTCCACACTTTACATATATACAAAAAAAACAGCTACTTGCACTTGTTACAATACGGATTCCATACGCTACAAAAAAACAGAAAATAAAGGGGGCGGGGAAGTATGGTAAATTTTAGTTAACTGTAGTTCTAACTCAAAGGAGAAAAAAGAGATATTTTTCTCTGCTGATTCACTGAAATTTAGCTTTATATACTTTGAATGTTGAGCGAGGAAAATAGGAAGGGAATGTCTGGTAGGAAGGAAAGTGTAAAAAGAGCGAGAGACCCCAAACTGGTAAAAGGTTACTAAAGAGGGAAAGGTCCAATTTCTTTATTATATTGTTTTAAAAAAGGCTTAAAATTTTCAATAGTTGGAATATTTCCTTTGCTTCTGCAAAGCCAAATGTAGAATCTCGCAAGTAACAGAACGAAGTCAATTGCGGCTTTGTTTTTGGAAGTACCAGGCATCAGACCCAAGACGACAAGACTGTTAAGGAGATAGTCGTTGGATAAATGTTTACGATCCTTTAGAAAGGCAATAAGGTGTTTCCAGAAAAGTTCTATTTTGCTGCAGAACCAGAAAAGATGCGTGAAGTTTTCAGCTTCTTCATAGCAAAATGAACACTTAATGTCGTCTTTGTATCCCATTTCGACGAAAGATACGTTTGTTGCCAAAGTTTGATGAAGGAATCTAAATTGAAATTCAGTCAGTTTGGTGCTTTTGGTACATTTAAAAGCGGTCATTTATGCGTTATGCCAGATTGAATCACGAGCTTCTGGGAAAAATTTGCTCCATTTCTCCTGACTAGAAATTTTATAGTTACATTTTAATTCCACCAGTTTTTGATAAGCTAGTCTGCTGGGCTTTTTCGATTTTAAAAAGGCGGTTGTGAAAGACTCTTGTTCTTTACAGTTTAGTGGTACACTTTGTAGTTTTTGATTTTTCCAGAGCTCTCGGAGGGTAGATGTCATTCCATAGAATGTCAAAGGGCAAACCTTTGTATGAAACTTTTTTTCAAATTCTGTTGGTGACAAGAAAGTACTTGGTTGTTCCTAAACGATTTGATTCACCTGAGAAATGCCCATTTGATACCAACTTTTATAGAAGACCGGTTTGTCCATAACTCTAATCATTGCATAACCACTGCTACTCCCTTCACAATACGAAGTCAAGGCTGGTCATTTCGATCTGGCAGGGTCCTGGAGCAGTTGCAACAAAAATGGCAGGTTTTTTTCGCCGAAATTCAAATTCGCTGGAAAATTTTTCAGCTCCAGCCCAAGAAGTAAACCTCCTCTTTCTTTCTGGGAGATCAGCTAGAAAACATCTGCTAATATCTCCATCAAATCGAGCTATTTGCGCTAGTCTTCGAGGCACTGGCTTATGGCTTTCGTCCACTACCTGTGACCACTGTTTCGCTAAACAAATAATTGCTGGCGACAAAAGGAGCTCACTGCCCTTCTTGGTCAGCGGCACTGTTTAAATTGTATATCGATTTTTTTCCGAACCTGTCCACATTCTTGGAATGCCTGTGGTGTACTGACTAAGATGCATGGTATGTGGCCGCGGAGGCCCTGGTGTTGATTTTAATGTCTGTCTGATGTCACGGTAATCACGTGAATGCACATGGAAGTGATGCAACGATCACTATGACATTTGATTCGCAAGCACACATAATTTAGGTACACAATTACTGTACTAAAAGGGTGACGTTTCGATTCGCCTTGCCAGCCCGGAATTTATTTATCCAGGAAAATGAAAGTAGAGCCAGATCTCAGCTTAGTGCAGGGCAAGTCTTCAGTAAGATACGAATGCTAGCAAAGTCTAGAAATCAATGTAAATTAAGTTTATTCAAATTTCACTACAGTGCATGGTTCTTATATTTTTATACGTTTTCAAGCCTGTTACGTTGCTTTTCATCCGAAAGCTTCAATAAGTTTTAAACTCCAGTGGCAATTTTTCTATTTAATATCAACGGCCTTTGGTCATTAAACATTGATTGAATATTCTATGAATAATAACACTTCGTGCATGACTGTATATATGCTTTACTAGTTTCACGCCATACTGTTTCAATGTATCTTTGCCGGCGAATACAAACGTCTCTCCTCGCTCCTTACCATTCGTCGCCTAATTGTATCCAAGTAACTACGAATAAAATCGTTGAATTAAATATGAGCCTTGTTCACTGTGTTGTTCAATCCAGTTTTCATGATTCGGGAAGATTCCTTTTTTTGACACTATAACTAAAGGGCATTCACATTCAAATGAAAGCGGTTTCGCCCGCACTTCCTAACCAACGGCTACTGGTAGTTTGCATTGGAAATTGGAAACCTTGCGAGGGTGACAATTAGTACTTACACGACGGGTGCAAGGGCGGAAATGACCGGTTCACTAGGCTCTTGCCCTATGAAGAAGTGAGCCTTGCACCCGTCGCGTAAGTGCTAAATGTCACCCTGGCGAGATTTCCTATTTTAAATGCAAATTAATTGGTAAGCGCAACAGTGGTCACAGGTACTGGACCAAAGCCAGGCGTGCAACGAAGTCCATAACCTTGTGCGCATGCTCAAAAACTAAATGGGACCACCTTACGCGTCTAGTTTCTTCAAATCGAGAAGATTTCACATATTATCAATAGGACGAAAAAAAAAAGTACTTCTCTAAGCAGGGGAATTTAGGGTGCCTGCTCAAATTCCGGCCTCTGGGCCTGAACCCTGCCGGGGCAATAAGGTCTGCATACCAACTTATGTAAAAATGACCACAGGGAGAATAGCTGAAGCACTGACCACAATAATTTTGAAGTTCTACATCAGACAATAACATTGTAATAAAAGTGAGAAGGTGGTTGGTTAAACGCTGATAATTGCAAATAAAAGTCCAACGTTTCGGCAATGCTGCCTTCATCAGAGAAAACATGTGAGTTCGATATAAAGGAAAATTTTAAGACTTGAAAATGCGCGCGGAAAACAAGCGAGTGTGCGCGCGCGCAAAGCACGTGAAAGAGAAATCTTGATTGAGTCCACCAGGCGCGAGGGGGCCAAAATTATGAATAAATCGCATCTCCTCGCGGCTTCTTTTGCCTTGTTCGGGTAGACCAGATCTAATTACCGCTACCTGCATGTCCTCCACCAGGTGGTCCATTCCTGCAAAATGGGCAGGCACCTGCAGGGCCACTTTCTTCTTTATGAAGTCCGCCGGTTCTCCCGAAAACGGTCGCCAAGTCTACGGCCTGTCTCTCCCATGTAAACAACCCCACGGCATTTGCGGCACGAAATACAATAGATCAGCTGGCTGGTGATGCACGTAAAAAAACCTGATATTTTGATCTGCCCTTGTGTAGTGGTAATGCGGTCAGAGGAGTTAATGAAGGGACAGGTCCGGCAGTCACGTCTATTACAAGGTTAAGTGCCTATCTGACGTTGGAGAACCTGCAGTATGGAGCTATGAACGAGATCTTTCAGGTTTTTAGCCCGACGGAAGGCTTTAAGCGGCGGTTCGTCAAAAGCGACCTTGGTGGTATCGTCATCCCATAGAATGGAATAATTTCGCAGTAGGATATTGCAGACGGCGATGTTCTTGGGTTGGTATGTAATGACCAGTGGGAGTAGGTCGGCCGCAGAGAAGTTACTACCCGGGGTGGTGACTAATGGGTCAGCCCTCTGTTTTCTTCCTCTTGGAGACGTGCTCTTGTAATTAGGTCATGGGGGTAGCCACGTGCAGCAAAAAAAGCCTGCACGGTTGTGGTCTCATTTTGAAAAACGTCGTCCTCACTGCAGATCTTTCGCAGCCGTAGAAACTTACTAGCGTATTTATTCGATTAACCGCCCTGGGCACTTATTAAATTTTCACCATTTTCAGTAAGTGTAGTTGTATATTTTGCAACAAAACAGTAAATGCTAATAACAAAAAGCGAAGATGTAACAAAGCAAGGTTTCTGTACAATGCTACCCTGAAGAAAATTCCGTCTTCGGGAGGGTCTCTTATTATATCTTATTGAAGTTTTTGTGGGAGGGAGTGGGGTGGGGTGGGCGCTTATTCGAGGCTGGGCGCTTATTAACATTTTCTGCCTTTAGGATGGGCGCTTATTCGAGGTGGGCGCTAATTCGAGGTTTGGCGCTTATTCGAATAAATACGGTATATGGTATGGACAATTTACACTTGGATGGATGTGACTACCCGAATTTCAGATATGAATGGCTGTCAGTATCTCGATCTGCGGTCGTCACGGGGTGTTATATAAATGTCCTGGAACGGGAGTTTCTAAGACGAGATAGACCACGTATAGACAAGCTTAGGATGGTACTTCGAAGCAAAATCAAGAAACTGCTGTAGGTCTTGCTCACTGCCCGAGGCTGCGCCCGCCACGTTGTCCATGTATCTCTTATACGGATCAGGCTTCCTACCAGTGTATTCGGCTAACATCCTCTCTTCGACATAGCCAACGAAGAGGCATGAGTAGTTTGGCCCTAATCTGCTACCCATTGCCACGCCGCCTACTTGCTTGTAATAATCGCCGTTGAACTCAAAGGTGTTGAGGGTCAGCAGCAATTCCGCCATGCGAACAAGGGTATCAGTTGGTGGGTCTTTGACCTCCCTCTTGTCTAGGAAATATTTTAGCGACACTAGACCTTCATCATTTGGGATGACTGTATACAGTGATTTGATGTCCATTGTGAACACCAAACTCTGCCCCCCGTCGTTGATGAAACGAAAAGAGTCTAGTATGTTCAGAATATGGGTGGTGTCTTTCACGTAACTCTCCAAGCCGCGTACGAAGGGAGCTGTTACCTTGTCGAGATACAAAGCTAAATTCTCTGTAGGACATGAGCAAGCGGAGACAATTGGTCGTCCAGAGTTGCCAGGTTTGTGTATCTTAGGCAACAAATGAAACTTAACTGTTTAACACACAAATGCTACGCAGGAACCCCTTTTATTTGTCATAACATTGTAATGCTGTGTCCTATTACAGCAATCACCTCTAACCGAGTTAATTTAACTCTTATACAATAATAACGTTAAAGAACACTTTGCAACCTTAGCATTTAACTCATGTATAGATCGAATTAGAGAGACATCTACAGATATGAGTAAAGCCTTCGACTCTCTTTGCCATTCTCTTATTGTAAAGTAACTCCAGGCTTATGGCTTTGGACAAAATTCTCTCAACCTTCTTTAACAGAGTAAAAATAAAAGACGTGACAAGTGACTGGAAAAGGATGTTACTTGGCTGTCAGCAAGACTCGTCTTTCGGTCCCCTTCTGTGGAATTTGTTCCATAATGACATGTCATTCCATATAAATAATGCTAATCCGAGTATGTACGCCAATGACCATCAGATGTATGTCATGGGGAAGAAGCAGAAAAGTTTCAGCTACTAACAATCAACCCGAGAAATGTTGACACAGACAACGATAATCAAGATATATCCGTAGATGGACATGCTATTGAGAGAACGGGGGAAATAAAGCTTTTAGGAGTTCAAATCGATGAAAAACTGAGTTTTACTATGGTCATATAAGTGAACTATGCACTAAGGCCAGTAAAAGAGTAGAAGTCCTAGTGCGGTTACGCAACTTCATACCTTGTAATGCTAAACTATCACTTTACAAGTATTCAATTCTGCCCCATCTAACCTACTGCCATCTAGTCTGGCACTTTTGCAATGCATCGGATCGGAGAAAGCTAGTGCGGATTCAGGAGCCAGCGCTAAGAGCGGTGTACAAAACCAGATCAGCGTCCTATCAAGAACTGCTAGACCGCGCCAAACTACCGACGTTGTACAATCGACGTCTACAAGACATTGTCACTTTGATGTTTAAAGTTAAGCACAGTCTCGTACCCGTGAATATTCCTGATTTATTTAATTTAAAGAACACTCAGTATAACGTACGGAATAGTGACTTCCAACTGCCAGGATTCGAAACTGTTAGATTTGGTAGGAATTCAATAAAATATATGGGACCTCTCAATTGGTTGAAGTTGCCAAGACACATAAGAATGATAGAAACTTTGAACTCCTTAAAGAGGAACATTAGGAAAGTTGACCTTTCAACTCTTGTAAATATTTAGACGTTTTAGGTTTTTCAACAAATTTTGTAAATAATTATACAATCTACACGCAATCTTAGATTTTTGCTTTTTAGTGATTTTTATCTGGTATTTGACTTATTATTTTACAGTGTCCCCCATTAGCTTATAGCTAAGAACATAGACACTTAAAAAAAAGTTTTTCATTCATTCATTCATTCATTCTATGGAAATAGAATACATCCGCACAGAATTTAACAGAATTAAAATTTCAGGGAATTTCTGTAATGGTCTGCCCTACAAGAAGAGTCTACATTTTCGCGACGTGAGCTGGCGTGCGAAACGTACTGCTACCCACTTCACTCACGCCGCGAAAATGTAGCCTCTGCTCGCAGCAGGGTATAGTAATTGTCCATCGTTCTAGCTTCAATCATGAACAAATGTCCTCGGGACAGTAATACAATATTCATGTTTTTCTGTCATTTCTGGATTCCCTTATAAAACAGTGCATCCTTTTCGAAATTTTCTTGCAGTTCTCTCTCTCCCCCCCTCCCTTTCCCCTACCCTATACAAAGTTGAAACTCGGAAAAATTCTGGATACACGCGTCCAACTTTTCTTGTGGGATGAGGGTAGGGGTTGGGCGTGTGTGAATTGGAAAACGCGGCAGAGTCTTACATTCACGGCCCGAAAGTGACAAATTTAATTCGTTTCCAAGCAAAGATTCAGTTGTGAATGATAAAATTGTGTCTGGCAAATCCTCCAAGTGCTTTTAAAATACACAGTTATATACACCAGTTATAAATTACGTCCACGCTTATCAACTTGGATCAATCGACGGTCAAGCAAGAGATTTTCTCCGTGGTTTTTGATGCTTGTTTAAGAGCATAAAATGAGAAGAAGAAATGAAATTTCAGTTTTGCTTTAATACTTTAAAAACAGCTGTTTCACAGAATGTCAGTGAACAGATACGTAACACACAGGCGGTGTGTGTCACGACCCACAAAGGTTCATGGGTAAAACTGCTTATGTACCTTATTTCAGTCGTGACACGGTCGAGTATAGCCTCCCACACAAATGTTCTTAGGGGCTCGTCACGCGTTCCAGCCCCGATCCATTGCGATTTAAGCGATTTCCTTTAACCCGGCCGCGTTTACACTAATTCGGGGTTAAAAAAAATCGCTTAAATCGCAATGGATCGGAAAAATAACCACACAGCAAGCAGAGACAAGTTAAGTAATTAAGGTAAGGTGAATTCTATTGAAAATTCTTGCTATTATTTATCTTCTTGAATATTTTACCTGAATTCTCATAAAAATCCTTTACTTTCAAGGCCATTTTAAGGATTATGCAGTATGAAACCACATGCATTAATGATTAAACTCTTATACCGAACTTGGGCCGCCTATGATGTAGCCTGCATAGCAGGCGCTTGGAAGTAGTGGGCACAAGAAAAAAAGCATGTGCGAGAAGGAGAGGCTACGCAGGCTACCTATGATGAAGATCTGCATACACATAGCACACACAGCATGCAAATTATTTGAAAGGCACGCTTTAAGTCTCCGCACTGGGTTATGAAAAATGTTTTGTTTCTAGAGGTTGTTACAATATTCAAACTTATTTACCTTTTCTGGTTTAAAATGGAACAAATTCTTCCTGGATTTGGCGTTACTCGCTTCAAGTCGGCTTCCGCTTCGGCATGTTTTCCCAGCCCGCTTCCCGGGAGTTGTGCTACTTGGCTGAGACGATCTCTTCATTCAACGCCTCGTAACAGGAATCAAAGAAAGACTATCGTCAACTCATCGGAACGTTGTTTAGAAAATAATCAAATGGTTATCAATTCCGGTTTTCCAACAGTAAATTGTAGGAAATAATAGAAATTCAGCTTGTTTATCCATATATTAAATATACTATCTTTTCCCTGGAAACACGATACTTTTCTCGCTGTTTATTGCGCTTTATTAAATAAAAGTTATGTATTTAGGTATATATTTAAAGAAAAACAACAAAACAAATAAGTAAAAAAAGACCAAACAAACCAAAACGGGAAAAAAAAAGAAAGAAAAAAAGAAGGAAGAAAGAAAGGAATGAGCAGGACTTTAGCCTGCGAAAACATCCGTTTCTCCTCGCTCTTAGGAGAAACGGATGTTTTCGCAGGCTAGCAGGACTCGAACCCGGCACCTTCAACTCTTTGTGACTTTACCTAACCACTACACCACTAAGGTGCATCTTGGCGAGAAGTTTTTATTTAATGCCTTTTCCACAGAAAATCCACTGGCAAACGCCGTTAAAGATGATCGAGCCGCGTAAAACGGCGCTAATGACAGTTAAAAAACAACAAAAACAAAAACAGAACGCATTTCACGGCAACATGAATGAAAGAACATACATTGTATGCTTTACAAAGCAAAGTTTTCTGAGATATTTTCTCATCTCGATTTCCGCTGTTACTTTGAAGCTAATCAGTAATGGTCAAAATCACATCCATTTTTGGCTCATACAGGTTCTTAAGAATAGCATGACATGATATTTTCTCACTTTCAGATCACGTTCCAGCAAGCTGGAATTTGTATACAGTGGTGTATCCCCCGTTATGTTGAGAAGTCGAAGAGAAAATGCTCACCTTCTCGTCAATCCAATCCCGAAGTTAACCATCGTACTCATCTGAAAGACTCCTCCGTGTCTTAAATTTGGTAAGACCTCTAACCGTGACGAAAAAAATTTGCCACAAAGAAAACTCTGAGTCTGAGCAGCGAACAATGCACGTTCTCATAAGAATTTGATCACACCGAAATTCGGGGAGCGTGTGCTTCTTCGGAAACGATGGATCTTCGCACTCTCGAATTCGGATTATCCTCGACCCGATGTCCGTCTACTACGAGTGAGTGAGTGACTAACTTGCATATCCTAGTCCCTGCAATAACTCGTGGTACGCTCGCGCGTCCCCACGAGTTAAAAAGGAGAGGTGTAGACCCGGGTAGACCCCGAAACCGAAATTTAAAAAGAGGAAAGGTTGAAGTAACAAGATGACCAAAATAATCCGATAAAACCGCTAACAGTAACCAGCAATGAATCCAAGAAGAACGGCGAAATAACACTCAAACATCATGGCGGCTTGCACATGACCGAGCAATTCAAACTTGTCACAAACGCTCAAGAAAGCAAATATTGAAAAGTAACGTAACTACTGTAATATATTAGGCCGCTAAGTATGCGGGGAACCACAACAGCAGCTAAACAGAAGCGAAGAGCAATGTTACTCCACCTGGCTGGGCCTGATGTGCAGGAGATTATATACCACCTTAACTTGTACTGGAACCGGGGATGCTACAAATTACGCCATTGCTGTTGAAGCCCTCAACACCGATTTCATTTCGTGCCACAGGTAAACTCAATATTCGCCCACCAGACGTTTCATCGGGTCACGCAAAACCCAGGTGCGACAATTCAACAGTTTGTCACTAGCTTAAGGAAAGCAGCTAAAGATTGTGACTTTGCCACTAATATCGACAACCAGATAAGATATGCAGTTTTCAATAAGTGCACTTTTACTTACATCAAACGAAAATTGCTTGGAGAAGGCCAAGGACTGAGCTTAACGCGCACCCTAGAGGTTGCCGAACAATGCGAAAAGATAGAAACCCAACTGGTTGCACTTTCAGTAAAGAGGGAAGAATCAGAAAGTATAAATAAAATCAATGAGAGAAGTAACAATCAGAGCACTAGTATACAAGGGCGATATGTTATAGATGTGGTTTAATGGGACATTTTGGCCGTGATCCCCAGTGCCCAGCAAGAAGTAGAAAGCATGTAGCATGTAGAAAGTGTCGTAGGAAAGATTATTTTGAAAAAGTCTGCAAGGCAAAGT